TAAATTCATCTCTTTATGTAAACTACAAGTTCACAAAGTTTCATTAAAATCAGAATTTATCACCTCGAGAGGTTCCCTTGTAAGTTAACATTTTCAATTTTTTATGTTAAAAAAAATTGAAAAAAATATATATATATGACACTCTAACGAATCTAGAACAACTTTTCTTTAAAATACAAGAAAAAATAAATGTCTTTTGGCAACAGTTCCCGTTAATATTAATAGGAGACGACATTTGGAGAAAAAGTTCTTTTATATGGAAAGTATAAACTTCTAATTCCAGTCACTTTTTGCAGAGACTATACACCTGATACATTCTTAAATGTCAGAAGAATGCATGACAGCTTCGAAATAACGTTGGTTCAATTTATCTTTCAATAATTAGCAATTACTAAAAATCTTTCGTATCGAATAATCGGCTATACAGAACACTATTTAGCTTGTTATTCGTGTCTTCATGACGCCCGTTTACTGATCGTATTACGACAGTACACAATCGTAACCCCGATCCGCGACATTACGTGGCCGTCGATCTCGCAATGTGTACCTTACGCTTACGCGAAGACTTTACACGTGAGGCAGCCATTTCACGCACGAGGAGGCGTTTACATAATAGATCAGTTGACGACGAAGCGCGTAAAGCCGGAGCAACGATCGACACGTGATATTGATCCTCTTTCCATTGACAGGGGTATGAGGGTCCCTTGGAGATGCCGTTAATGTCGGGCACGTTTCACACGAAACTGCAAAAGAGCCGCTGATCGATCCCTAACGTATCCCCCAAACTCTACCATAGACGCTGCATTTCTTGAAGGAGAATTCCCCCTCGATGAAGATTCGTAATTGGCGTCGACGGAAACGTCCGATTTCGACACGAAATTGTGCGAAATTCGTCTAATTCTTGTACCCTCGTAAATTACGATTCTGCTTTTGGAAAATTGTAATGAGAATTTTTCTATAAATATTATAATTATATACAACCAATTTTAAATAATCAGAATTTTTCCATAAATATAACTATATACAATCAATTTTAATTAAGAATAATGGAAATCGCTAAATGCGACATTTTTAAATCGAAGTGATATTCCTGTAAAAGCTTATTTTCGTTCTTTTTAAAAAATATATTTGACAAGATATAAAAATAATAATCATTTTAGTCTGGAGTTGTCTAGTTCTACAATACAGTATTGACGAAGAAATTAGATTATCCAGTAGAAAGAGCACTCGTTTTCTGTACGCATTCTGGATCAATATTTCAGGCGCTTATTGGTGCATGTGATCACACCGTGCATCGACTTACACCGTTCTTTGACTTGGTCTTGGGAGATGTAACATAACTCCGAAGTTGCACAACATTTGCAATATAATGTTCATTGAGCGAGATAAAATTACAAATAGCAGCTACTTTGTTTTTTTTATTCGAATTTAAAAGTTTTAAAACGAAATTAGAGAGATGCAGTGTCTATCATAATTTTATTCTTGTATCAAAAAGCTTGTACAAGAATCGCTTGTTTCACTTTGGAAAATTTTCAGATTGATTATTAAAATATTTATTGTAAAAATATAAAGTCTCTAATCTGTCTTACATGTTTTTAATTGAAGAGCAACATTATATTACATTTTTTATTTCACTATTAATCATATCCTATTATGTGAAACTAGTTTAAGCTGACAGAATTAGGGCACCGCATGTGTATATGATGATAAAATTGTGACAAGCGCTGGACACTTTCCCAGTTAACTGGATTACAGCCTTATGTAATAATTCCATTTATAAATTAGTCTTAAATATAGCTTCCAGTCGGATAATTTGAATGCTATTATCTGATCTTTGGCTTTGCATTTTTAATGTACACTTCAGATTTTTCGAGCCAAGAAAGTAAATTTTAGAGTAAAATATATTTAAAAATGTATAAAGCGAACTTCAAGATATTTTATTCATCTTTCTCAGCTAACTGGATTAAGATTTTATGCAATGATTCCATTTATAAAATTACCCTTAATAGCTTCGAGTCATGTCATCTAAGTTAATATTATCCGATCTTTCGCTTTTTACAAAAAATAATAATTGTACTTTTAATATACTTCAGATTTTCCTGGTAAAGCAAATTTCAGAGTAAAAAATTTTAACTTTAGATTTTATTCATTTCATAGAAGTGGTTTTACTGAAAATTTAAAATAGATTTTAAAAGTATTTTCTATTATAGATACAAATCTGAAAATAATTTTATATTACTATCGAAATAATTATGTAAGATGCTTAAATTGGTTGCCAGAATGTTACAACTTTTTGTAGCATTATTTATTGAGATTGAGTTTCGTACATAATTATTTTGATGATCCAAAATTATTTTCAAATCTGTATCTATATATACACTTAAATTTTTAGACATTTCAGCAAAATCGTTTTTTCCGTATAGTACTTGAAAATCTTTCTAAACATTCGTGATGCATGCAATTGTGTACAAGCTAAGTAAAAAGTTTAATCTGCCGACTTACAAACATATTTTTCTAATCTCCTTGAGGCAACTGCGAATATCATTGCTTGCAAATGTACATTAAGGACAGATTACCGGAGTCAAGAAGACAGAAAAAAAGAAACGATTGCGGCAAAGTATAAAGCACAGAGTGAAAGAGGTGCAAAGTCGTCTCACAGGATTAGGCTTTCAGGGCGGAGTCGACCGTGAAAGTGAACATTATCTGCGCCGACTGTACCGGTTGACAATCGGGACTCGACGAGGCACGAATCTCATACTGGCCAGTAACTGGTCGGCACTGTTGGCAGTCGACAATCGACAGTCGCAGCGACTGTATCGGCACGTGTATTGTGATTGACTGATTGTATTACGTTAAAGTTTCTCGCACCGTACGCTTCGAAATTCAGATTAGTTCTCGGCGAACTGTCGATTAATCGTTTAAAAATTCCTACGACTTACAAATTCCGCGTTCGTACCAAATATATTAAATACGAACTGAAATTTTTACTTTCTGGAAAAAAATTGGTTGTATTATTATCGACGCATTACTCAGCAAACAACGTAATCGCCTTCGATTATCTGGATAATCTACCGAGGATGCTACGTTATATGACATTGGATTCATAACGATATCATATAGAGAAGAAAATATTCAGTCTAAACGGACAACGTGTGTGATATGTCGAATTTTTTTATCAAAATCTCCAAGTTTGACCAATCAAGACACAGGTGTTAGTCGACAATTCACTCACTCACGAGTTATTTGAGTGATCTCAACGACGGATCGGGGATACGAATCTGCTCGCGGTTGCTTCGAGTTGCACCTCGACCGGTGACGAACGTACACCGATCGTCTAAGCGGCTTGACGTTCTTATCTTAACATCGCAAGGAAACGGGAAGGAGAGGTGCGTGTCCCTGAAAGTTACGCAACGCGGTAAACACGATGAAGTCGAAGACGAGCGAGAGCTTGATAGCAAGTGAAAGCAAGGCGGAGTTCAAGAAAGACGGTGCCGACCAGCACAAGCAAAAACCGTTGAAGAAAGGTAAAAAAATGTTGGCCGTCGTGAAGGACTGAAAAAGTCGTTTCCTTAGCTTCTATTCTGCGGTCATCGTGACGAACGAGCCGCTCTTTTTACTTTACATCAATCTGCCTTCATCCATGATGACAATGCTTGATTAAAAGCGCAATTGATTTCGCAACGACGAACCATTGTGCTGTTATTTGTCGTTATTTTTGAAGATCCCGCAGTGAAGTTTAAATGAATCAGTGGCGTTCAATGACTCTTAACTCTCGAATCTCCTACAATATCATTATCTTTTAATTTAATAATCCTTGCTCATTACCATTATCTCATTGTGTCTGTTTGTAATATTATGATATAGGCAATAGATATTATAAATAGGAAAAATTGGTAGGTAAAAGCCCCGTGGGACTATAATGCTGAATGAAGCGTACATCGAGATATTTATTGTATCAGTATTCATTAATCTTCGAAATCCATTAGCACTATTATCGCGTCGGTGCGGTAAACGCATTAAACTTTCAATAAACTGTTAATTAAACGTGAAATAATTACGACTACTGCTATGTAAATAGATCTTGCTTTTTGTCACGTTATTCGCGAAATTGGAGCCATGTCCGCTGAGATGAAATCTGTCTCGACAAGAAATTCGACGCGGTAATGTGAAATCCGTTCCGCCGATCGGTACGGTATTTTACGACATCCGCCGATCATCCGTCCATCTTATCAACTTGCCTCACGACTGGTTTAATATATCGCGGCGACACGATGCTTAAATTACACGATGCGAAAGTACCTCGTGTGATACCACTCGAGCCACGGTATCCACAAGATCCGGCAATATTTGCATATTACGACGGCTGCCTCTCAGCCACGAATATCTCCGTCACGATTTTCGTCGTTCGTGACGAGGCGAATCTGAGGAACGTGACACGGTACCGCACGCCGAGGACATTTTTAACCGTCCCGATGCTCCGACGAGGAAATGCATTCCTTAGCGCGCCAGAAACGCCGATCGGAATCCCGTTTGGGTCTCACTTACATTGTGGTCGACCGACAGTATCACCTAGACCATTTTCTCGATTATCTGTTGTCTGTATGATTGTAAGAATACATTCTGTAACTCATTCTATGACTCGTTCTCAAATTATCAAATATTTTCAACCTTAAATTTAACTTATTGCGCAATTTACGTTGAATTTTGAATTAAAAAAACCGCGAGAGCATTCGTAATGATTATTTTGAAATGCTTTCCTGGAGAAATGTTTAAGGGTGCAAAGTACTCGTTTTCCGTTGACATTGACTGTTGACATATAGTTAAGTTAGTAAGCAAAAACAGTAAAACAGGGTTACCGGAAATTTTTTTGCATCATGCGCAGGGTATAATAATTGCGTTTTTTCGCGCTATCGACATAAAAGTCATATACACACATCGAGAATATAGTACAAGCATTTTATAATTTAGTTATCCCCGCACTCGTGGGATACTAATTACTGACTTCATGTATTATTAAGTAACCGTCGGTCAATTGTCATACAATGAACACAAGCCGAAATATGTACTTTTGCACGTTGCATCATGTACAATCGGCCTCTGCCAGTTCATAACAATAATAATTTTATACGTCATGTGCAACCTTGAACTGTATGGAACGATTAGGTAAAAATTGTGGCATTTATAATATAAGAAGTTTTACGTTTATTTTTACGTATATGCTGCAATACATTGCGATGTATGCCTAATATAAAATAACTATTTTTTAACAATTAATTTTGTCATTAATAAGAAACAATTTATAACTTATGAGGTTGGACATTACTTATCTTTTATATGATTAATGTTTGGAAAATATATTTTACGTCACGCAACAATTAGTTCTGCGGGTAGCTCTTAAATACTGTGTATTCTTTTTATTAATTTTAATTTTTATTATCAAGTATTATTGAATTAGTCTACATATCTAAAGTATTACATAAAATATTATTGTTGTATGTGGTACACTGAAAAAAAGATTGGCTGCTGCAGCAAATTAGATGGTAAAATATGGCATAGCATTTTTAATTGATTGTAACAGCCAATTTTTGGGTGCGTTAGCCTATCCGCAATGTTAGTATAGGATTTCGAATGTTAGTATAGGCTAACACAACCAAAAATTGACTGATACAATCAATTAAAAATGCTATGCCATATTTTACCATCTAATTTGCTGCAGCAGCCAATCTTTTTTTTCAGTGTAGTATTGTAATTTACTTACATAAAATTTTATTGTTGTATGTGGTCAATTGTGAAATTAGTTTACATATGAAGTATTGTTGAATTAGTACATATCTCTTGTACAAAACAAAAATAATACCAAGAAATGACCATGACGATAAGAACTAACTGCAAAAGCTATAATTATCGCGTCATTACTGTTAACTTGCTTGATAATCGACTGTAATATACATATCTTTAACTCTCATTCTCTGAGGATGCGTTATCGAATAGTGACGATTATCTGAATACGATATAACGTTTATAGAGAGAAGTGATTGTCCAACACGTGCATATACGAATTATTAATTTCTGATTGCATCTCATACGTTACATCAGTTTATTATCGCAGGATAATTGAAGTGCAGCAGTTTAACACATTTTCATTAGAGCGAGTTTAAACGTCGACGATAATCAATTTTTTAATGTTTCGTTCGTAAATGATCTGTTTATAAAAGCGACATTCAAGATAGAAACTGTCGTTCGTTAAAATTAAATAATTACATTGGTTGAAAGGATTACGCTTTGCATTACTTAAATTGAACTTTTATTTCTTGAATTTTTAGAAGTATAAAAAAGATTGTAACAAAGCATAGTGCAAACAAAAAAAAGAAACGGTAGTTTAGCAGGTTTTAGTAGAAAGGAGAGGGTAAAAATTTATCTGCTGACATAGCAGTTCTGCAGATGTTCTTCTGTCGAGTGCATGCTGGTGCGAATTTCAGCGAAATCTAACACGTGCTCTTCCGTTATATCACGCTATACGTTATCTTTAAAATAAAATATATAGTGTAATATAAAACACCTATTGTGTGCAATACGATTTAAACGAAATTCGATCTCGTTCTTCTTTCGAATTATCGTAATATTTGTTTCTGTTTCGTCTAGATAACAGAATGAATCAGCTTCAAAATACAATATTCAGATTGCCAAACAAGTGAAAAATATTGAATATTATTTTGTTACTTAGTGTTTGAATTTTGACGATAAAAATAATGTGCATAATCATAAATATTATTTAGTACAATTCGAGAGCATCGCTTTTAAATACAAGTTGTTTCTTGGAGATACACTTTTAGACGCCTAGATATTTTCTGTGTCATTCATTATCAACTTCCTTCGTGCTGTTTTTCTGTGTCATTCATTATCAACTTCCTTCAGACAACGTTCCAAATTTTCCTTCAGACAAATTAACTTGACCTAATACACATTCTAAGAATTTACAGTGACATAATGAAATGAGCTGCACGATTGTGTCTTTCCATTCTCTTCTAAAATATAATATAACGTATTTAAGTTGAAAAGTGGAAAAGAGAAATGTAGCAATGCAAATAGCAATAATGCAGCAATTACAATGATTACCTATGTTTCCTTTTCTAAGAAAATTCCACTTCTGAATTTTGTTTTATTAATTAACGCATAATATTTTATAGCTACTTTGCGTTACTTTTATAATTAATAGTATTAAATTTAGTAATTTAATACTATTTTAATACTATTTTAGCTATATACTTTGCGTTTAGCAAATAAACAACGAAGAACTTGCAAAAGATGTCATGATGTGCAAGAAACTTTTAATAACTGGAAATTTTCTTGATTTATATAAACTATAGCAAAAACTGCATCGACTGATAGCGCGAAGGAAAAATATGAAGTGATTAGATACGTTTGACAGATAATCATTGCACAGTCGATTAATATTCGATTTTATAACTTAGAGTGCAACGAGAGAGATCAGGGCAGTCCAGGGTCGTCGCGTTTGACCCCACTTTGCCACATCCTATTTAGATCACTTATGAATCATATTAACATACCACCTTCGTGCATGGTATCTATGTAGAGTGATCGCGATAAGTGACGGGACCTTATTCTTCAATTAATTTCGATTTTGTTGATTTTGTCCTGACAACTGTAATCTAAGGATATAATCACTGAAATATCTGATCGCCGGGGTGTATCGCGGATATAAAAGTCGCGCTAAATAATGGCCTTTGCGTTGAAGAAAAATATGATTGTCTATCAGGTCTTTTCCAGTGACAGTTCGTGCGGCAAAAACTGATTATTCTGTGCACGCCTTCGTGATACGGCGTCTTTTTAACGGGAGAGTAATCCCAATATTGAATTACTAATTAGCAATGTAGTCGTGGTATGCATACCTTATGACTCAGAGTTTCTGCTTCATGTCAAACGTGTAATTCGCACAGCCATGTATTCCCGCAACTGTTATTTCATATAAGAATCTGTGATTCATGCATTGAATCTACAGTATTAAATTTAACCTAATTTAAGTTGCCATTGCTTTTACTCAATATATCGTTATTTTATATTAAAACGATCCATATAGGAACGTCAGCAATTACAACGAAATCAATGCCGATCCAATGCTACAACTGTCAACCGATGGCCAAGGTTTTGCCAATCAGTACTGGACCATCACTGTCAAATGACAGCCAAAGTTCTGTCAGTCAGTACCGGGTCCATATTATCATCCAGTACTTGGCCAGTACTGGGCCAGTAGAGTTTACCAGTACTGCGCTAGCATCTGAACTGTAATGATTCAGTACTGGCTTGATTGTAAAACCCTATATGAGAATGCACGAATGGTTAAGTTTAATATTATTACAATATCAAATTTAACCACTGTTCTAGTATAAAATAACAATATATTGAGCCAGTGGCAATATAAATTAAGTAACATTATATATAACAGAGTACTTTAATCAAATTATAATTACTGAAGTATTTGGAAACGTTTGGTAAAATCGAGAAACATTTTTATCAAATTCCCTGAGTTTTTTCGTTAAATAACTCGGTTGGGCAGTTAGCTTTATTATCTTTTCCTTTTTTTTATAGTGCTGCACGTGACATCGACACATTGTTATCGCACACGATTGACATGTTCCGCGCGTGAATCGCGAGGACGATAAATTCCGTTATCACTCGCTCGCGTCCGAGTTGGGCCTATCGACCTATCGTTTTCTTTTTTTCTGGCAACAGATTTTTCGCCCCAGTTGAAGCGTGCCGTAAATTAAACGACATGCGACGCGCAGACGAGGGTGTGTCACTTCATGGACGAGTGGCCCCGTTCAATTAAACTCGCGTCGTGAGTTTCGATTCTATTCGAGCTCTTCCTACTGCAGCGAGGAGTAGAGAAAGCAGCGTCGGCACGTATTGTTGTAAGCCGGAAATGTTGAGTCTAACACGTACAATCTGTTTAAAGAATTTTTTTGAGGAATTATTTTCGCTACCCTTCGTTCGTTCATCTGTCGTATTGTCGTGTCGCTATCTAATTGTAAAATCGATATTTCTTGCTACTATGGACATTGTCTGGCGGATTCTAGAGAATGTCATTTCTGAAGCAGAGGACCTCGACAATTCCGCACAAAGCGGATGCGTTTAACTTGATCTGCCTACGTGCAACGAGGATTCTGTCGGCTTTAACTCATGCGACGATCCGATGATGTCAAATGTATGAAGAGAGCTGTGATGTCATCGTATATTTTTAAGGCACAGGGGATTCTGGTCTTTACCTCTCGACTTTATGATGTCATGCACGTTTCCATCTTTTTCAGCGTTGATTTATATAAATGCCGGCGGCATTTATATAAATGGCACCGGCATTTGTTTTCGTTTCATTGAATTCGCGTGAAATTCTCTCACGAAGAAAATTGTTTCCTCGAGAGAACATATTTCTTGCTTGATTTATACTGGATATGGCTTGGCATTTACAAAATGAATGTAAGGAGAGTTTAAATGCAACAGAAGTATTAAAATTTTTGAAAATTTGAAAAGGAATTTTTTAACTTATTAGTCATATAATTATTTAACAAATTAAATACTTTCTATTAAAACGTTTAATCGATATTATCCAAAAATAGATTTTTACGTATAGGAGACTTAATTATAAGCTTAATTCTTTTCAGTGTTTTAATTTTTTTTTATTAATTACTCCAGAAATAGTTGTTCCTTTCGACAGATAAAAATCGATCGCGTCACCGGCATCCGCCACGGAATTCGCGGTTGACGAGTAATTAGTACGTCGCACTCTACATTCGCAGAATGAAAGAATTCCGTTTCGCGCCAACGGGACCGAATAGAAATGCATGTGCAGCTTCCTGCATACTTTTTTCTTCTATGCACACATCATTAGGTCGAAACGAGCGCAGTCTTTGCACGAAATAGCTGGATTCGGTGCAGCGAACGCAAACAGAGGTAGATTATTAGTTCTGCCTCTCTAAATATTGATTGTGCTATGAGTGAACACACATTCCCTTTGCGTATTTCGGCCACGAGCGTAACGGCACTACAGATACGCCATAATTTATCGTGGAACGCGTTCAAAACAACCGATAACTCAATAAAGGCGTCATATTCATCGCGCCTTCTCGTAGTTGAATCATCGAACGACCGAACTGGATAAGCACTCGTTCCAGCACGAGTTTTCATTCATACACACTCGTCAAAACACTTGCGGTCATTTTTTTTTTCTATTTAATTATTCTTGTGACATGCGAACTTCCGCGATGTACACACGGAAGCGAGAACATTCAGTTCATCACGTAACAATTTATATAATAAGGTCATGCAATTTGCGTTGCCATGGCAGAATAAATTATGCTGCTCGTATTCGGTTGAAACGTTCATTATTCGCGTAATGAAATAATGAAGAATAGTGTAACGATAATATAATGAAGAAAACGTGTTACATCCATATGCGAAGTGCCGATTAAGTCCGAAATCAAACGTCTAATGAATAATGCATCCACGTTATTCGTACGTACATATATATTCGTGTCAAAACACATCGTGCTCGTGTTTCGGCTGACATGTTTGCTTCAATCGATCGCGATATTAATTCGCGACGCGTACAAATCGAACGTAACGTGTTACAAACATAATCGGGGACAATGACAAACATATACACGTGCAGGTATAAAAAAAATTGTTTTAGTAAATTGATGTATTTAAAAAAAAAAAGAAAAACATGCGAAGAACTTTTTGGCAGCATTTAATAACTGTTAAAAGATATAAGAAGGAGGAAATGTACGTGAAATACAAACTTTCATGTGTTTAGAGTTGTAAGTAGGATTTAAAAACTTATTTAATATATATATATAAATAAATATTAAATGTAATATTAGATGTTAAATTTAATGAATATGTCGCATTTTGCAACAATAACAAAAATACAATATATAAAAATAAAATATATAACAAAAAATTATTTTTAGTTTGAAAAAAAGAATGAAAACACATAAAGAAAAAAGAAAAAACATACTTTAAGAAAACATAATTTTATTCTTCTGTAATTAGTTATTACATGAAAATTGCGTTTTAAAATTAATATTTTAATGATTAAAAATATTCAAATTTATTTTCTAAAAAATTTAGTTTTTTAAATAGTGTACATAGCAAATGAGCAATATTAACAATTAATAAATAATGATTTGATTGGTTACCTTTAAATGTTTCTCATTTAAAAATATTCTCGACAATTTAGTTAGAATTTTCATTTCAAAATGACTCCAGGAGTTTACTATTAATAGTTATCACGTGTAGTCTGGAATAAGTCAGTTGTCCTTAATCTGCCATTTAGCTTTACGATCAAAGCTATCTCAAATCCGAACATCGGTTCGTTGAGACTCGGATTATTCTGGGTCTAAACTGTTTCAATGGAAAACCCTATTATAGAACGCGCGGATAATCTTCCAGAACGCAAGCATTGTAATGCATTCTTTCAGCTGGCGACAGGTGCATTACGTAACTGCTGAAAGTTAACGTACGCTTCATGGAGAGCCGAAGACCACGTGGAGTGGGAGATGCGAGTCGTCATTGTTAGCGTAAACACTGAAAGAAATTTCGAATGATCGGTACGCACGAAAAGGTGCATGACTCATATGGTGTCTTCTCGTTATTTTTAGCTTGCGTCCTCATACACTTGCCTATACTTGAAAAAGTTCACGCTGTTAACAATTTTTTAACACATCCGTCCAACAAGTTTTATTTATCTGATCATGTACGTCATATAGACTATGACGAAGATAGAATTTTCATTATTATAAGTATATAATGATAAAATTTCTTTACTGTAAAACTATTCTTATATATTAAATATCGTTTTTTTTTTATTTTACGTTATTATTTAATTATTTAAATTATTTAAAATTTAGATGACGTTTATTTTTTACAAATATCTTTTGCAAATGAATAAATTTCTAATACTAAGTAACGAGATATAAGTTAGAAAAAAAACTATAAGTCGAGACTATAAGTTTTTTAATACGATAATGCTTTGCAAAATAATTTAATTTTTGCAATTTCCGATTGTCACTTTGTGATATATAAAAAAATAAAGATATAGTAAGATTAGATGCCGTTTAATCATTTTCAGTGTCTAAAAATATGTATTTTATACTATAAAATAATTTTTCTAAAGACTCGAATTCTTTACTTTGTTATTTTGATAATAGAATGAGTTAGAACGTCACAAAAGCAAGTTATGATCATCCCTATTAAAGATTTACAAATATTACAGAAAAAAAAATGTTTAAACGTATAAATATTTGTTGGAAAGCTATTATTTTGTTTTAAAACGATAGAAATTTCTTTATACGCGAATGCTCGCCACTCAGTTAATTTACGATATTACTGTCGGATAGATTACGAGTTTGGAGGAGGAAGCTAATGATCCGTGAAAAAGCATTTCATAAAGGAAAACGCTCTCTTGTTTCAGGTAAAACGTTTTGTCAGGCTTGTAAGAAGAAGTGCAGTGGGGAGGTACTGCGGGTGCAGGATAAATACTTTCACATAGGGTGCTTCAAGTGTGCCCAGTGCAATGCCAGCTTGGCGCAAGGTGGCTTCTTTGCACGTGAGGGTTCCTATTACTGCACTAAGGTGAGTCACATTTTATTCGACATTTATTCTTAAAGATTTTTTAAATGTAACGAAAAGGTCTCGCTGGAAAAGAACGAAAAGTTTAACGCGTTTGTTATTTTGTTTACTAGGACTATCGGGAACGCTGGGGTACACGTTGTGCTGGTTGCGGGGAGTATGTTGAGGGTGATGTGGTGACAGCTGGCGAAAAGCATGCATTTCATCCAAATTGTTTCCATTGCCAAAGATGTCGGCAACCATTGCTAGGACAGGGAACAAAAGTGTCTCTTGTTCAAGGTATGTGATGAAACAATTATTTATGATTCATTGAAGGCTAAATTGAGATAGAATCTAATCTACATATTTGTTTAGCGCGTACTGATTGTTAACATAACACAGCGTTTCTTATACATGAATACCGACAAACGCATGAAAGATTTACTAATTCAAATTATCAACAGTTTCTCTACTAATTATGGATTACGATTCGTATTGAATCATTGTGTAACCGATGTGTCTCTTTGATGCAGCTTTCACAATTAGCGGTAGTAGTCAATCTGTTAAAGCAAATTGCCACTTAGGCTTATCGTTACTCCACTATTACAAGGTCGCGAGCATCTACTATGTACATACATACGTCCTTGTGACAATTACGCGGCCAAAGGTAAAAATCCGGCATGACGTGCATCCCTTTATTGTGTACTGTAACGATGCAAGTCACCCATTTCTAAGAAATTAAGGCCGATTGAACGTTATGAATAAATTACGCTGGATTTCACATCTAGTCCCTCATCAAGAAAGTCGTTAAGAAAATGAAAGTAAATTCCATAATATTTCCATATAATTTGGGAAATGTCAATTGAAATAATTCATTAAAGAAAATTTTATTTTTATCAGCTTTTATCAATTCAAATACATTTTTCTGAACCGAATTTTTTGAATTTTTATCTTAATTGGAATTATTTTATCTTTATTACTATTAATAAATTAATAATTTATTGAATGTTGTGTAATTTTTGTAATGCAATCAACATAATAAAACTAAGTGATCTTAAACCAGTCTTTTTTTCTAATGAAAAAAAATTGCAATAATAAATGAAACTGGATGATAGTTTCATAAAACAGACAATTGGGCACAAAGGTTAATGATAACGTTTCGGGATCCGTTACCGGGTCTCATTAATCTTCATTAACTATGCATTATTCGTAGGTCAAGCGCTGTGTCACCGATGTGTCGGTATTCCGGTTCGCGAGGCCTCCACGCCGATTGGCAATAGCGCCGGTACCAAAGGTGGCGGACACGCTGACCCTGGTGCTTGCGCCGGTTGTGGAAACCAATTGAGGGAAGGTCAGGCATTGGTCGCACTCGATCGTCAATGGCATGTCTGGTGTTTTAAGTGTCACAGCTGCGACACTGTGCTCCACGGGGAATACATGGGAAAGTGAGTTTCGCATTGATCCAAATCTATCCTTTCATCTTAATTATCTACAGGAATATTAATCAGAAAACGCGATAGCGTTTCGTATCAAGTATATTTTTCATTAGTATCCTTTTTATGAAAAAGACGCTACAGCGTCTCTCCTTTATAGAAGAATATTATTATAACTTTCATAGAAATAAAATATTGTTCTTTTTAAATAAATTGATGTTATTGACAAATGCATATATTAGAAAAGATTATATATTACTCTAAAAATATGATAGCTTCTTTATGAGGATTAGGATTCGATAGTTATAGGATTGGAAAAATGTGAAGATAAAGATAGAGAAAAAGAAATATATCTTAAAAAATATTTAATAAATGTTTTTTAATTTATATATTTATTAAAAAAAATTTTTTTTCAAACCAGCATAAAAATGGATAAAAAAGATAGGATTTGAATTTTAAATGACCGTAACTATTAAATTTTTTTTCAACAGAGATGGCGTGCCTTACTGCGAGAAGGATTACCAGAAGCAGTTTGGAGTAAAGTGCGCCTATTGCAACCGTTACATTAGCGGCAAGGTCTTGCAGGCCGGCGACAACCATCATTTCCATCCAACCTGTGCGCGCTGCACAAAATGCGGCGATCCATTTGGCGATGGAGAGGAAATGTACCTACAGGGTGCCGCCATATGGCACCCACGATGCGGTCCAGGACCAACCGGACCCAATGGCATCGTGAACGGACACGGGGACGCTCCCACCCCGCAGCATCGGGAATCGGAGCGAATTTCCAGCAGTGCTTCGGAAATGCAGGTAAGTCCGGTTACGTTTGCGTGATAGGTGTGATTCGCTGTCTAGTCGTATTTATTCTGTACATTTATGTATTATAACTAATTTAAGCTATTACAGAAGCTTGTTTATTTTTATTTAATTTAATTAGAATTTAATTATAATTCTAACGAAGCAATTGTAGCATCTTAATGTTTAATTGTTTGGATAAGTATATTTTACTGTAATAATCGATTATATCGAATTAACATATATAAAAATATAACATTTGTCTTATTTCACGTTATATTCTTATTACGATTGACTTGCTTATTGTGAATAAAGCTGTATACATGGCGTTTCTATTTTATATAACATTATAGCAATTATTGGATTCATATAAGATATTAACGTAACAAAGAAAACAAGCTTTCCATTTTATGGACTCGCAGAGCATAATTTACATTAGTGCAGATCATTTATGTCTTAAAACAGGTTATACGCGCGTATAATATTGTCTATATACAGGCCGTTTTTAAACAATGCATTTTTTAAATGATAGATTTACACAAATCATTAAGAATAATTGCGTTTGAAAAAACATCAAGGATTAAGATATCAAGGATTAAGATATCAGATACAATTTAAATAATGAATAATTTAAATAAAACAATATTTTAAGCATTGATATATTTAGCGACAGAAATACATTATCGTTAAAGCGACACTCACATATCTCAAACGGTGAATAGAAATAGCATTGCGTTCCAGAGCGTTCTAAAATAATACATCGTATCTAATTTTAATTCTTTCCTGATCCAAAGAGTATAGAACAAACTATAATTCTGTACTCTTTTTAAACTCTTTTTCAAACGTAACTGCGCTTGGTTATTTATATAAAGTTTATCGTTCGAAAAAGATTTATTCGAGAAATTAAGAGAATCACAGTAAAAAAAATTAAATATATACCATTTTCTAAATGAGGGGATCAAGAATTCAACATCGTATGATTCAATAGTTAGATTCAATAATATTTTGATGGTTTTGAGTATTATTAGAAATTGTAATATCTCTCTCTATGTTATGTTAGAAAATAAAAGAAACGCATGCTGTTTATGTCTAGCACTTGCATTATTCGACTTAGCTGCATTATATTAAGTTGTATTCGTCTGCATAATTGAATTTGTCAATTGTATTATAAGGAAAGCAAAGTGTTTCACATATGTTAAATATTTCCCTGAAAGTTTACTTTATGATTTTCTGTTATCGTAATATGTAATATACGATGGGACTCTCTTAAAAACGTCACTTTGTATTTCAAATCTTACAGACTCTTCTACGAAACACTTTGTCATTCGACGTATATTCTTGTATGTTTTAGTATAGTATTCTGTATAGCGGCAATATAGAACTGAACACCTCGAATCCAAAAAAACATTAATTATTTCGTCAGCTTTGTGTATAGCTTGATTTTTGCCTCAAAGGATCAGCTGGCTTGTCACTTTACCGTTCTTTCGTTTTACGCACGCCTCAATGTAGGAAACAAGCGAAACATCAAAGATTATATTATCATTTTTATTAAGTTTTTATTATTGCTTTTCTTAATTGTTGTTTACTTTTTCCGCACGGTCATTATGTATAGTTTTCATTGCGGTCACGCACGCCAAGCCTGAACGGATCGCTGTGCAGCCCTTACAGCAGCCTAAGTCGCAAGGTATGCCATATGTCACTTAGCACAGCACTCTCTCAACAAGTATTTCTGGTATCACGTCTCTTATTACCACTTCTCGGCGACGCGTGCTTTCGCTCTGTTGGGCACTTACGATTCTATTTCGACTTTTATCGATCTGTCAAATAGAAAAATGAGACCATCGAGACATTGTTCGGATTGTATACTCTTGTTAAGCTAGTACATCATTTTTACTAATAAGATGATTTAAAAAATTTAATTGCATCACTTATTATTTTAATTTAGTGATTGTCTGTCGTTTTCTAGAGCGTAAATATAATGTAAACAAAGAAAGAAATTTAATATATTTAAAAAAATTTTTGGAAATTCTCAAATATGTTAATATAAATGCTTTCTTGACAGAGCGTTGCTCGCTTTGCACGATTTTTTTCTTCTATACAAAGTGCGTCAATAATTTGAATACGTAAGAATGTTAATTTCTTTTAAAGAGACTGAATTCTGAATGCAAATTAACTTATTTTAAGAGAGACTTATAATTAATTTATCCAACTTCTTACGCACTTTGTATAATTGATAGTAATATTCAGATGTAAAATGCAAACTGCACCACATACGTGATAAGATACATTCATTGCCTCAGTATTATCCCGCACGAACTGGAAGCCCCGGCCTGATCCTGCGAGAATACGGACGACCGGCGGAAGATGTATCTAGGATTTATACTTACTCGTATTTGACTGAAACGCCCAGTCAAGGATATCTGAGACGTCCGATACAGCCGTACGATAAACCCCCCACTAGCCCGCATTTCCATAGACCTAGCTGTAAGTTTTCTCTATATACTTAATTTATTAGATATTAATGAAATTTTAAAATAGTTATGCTATTCTGCTACACAGTTAAATATAGTCATTCCTTTAATACAATATCTTGAGCATCAAGAACAGAAATTTTGATCCATTTAGTTTCTAAATTAAACGTAAAAAAATATTGAATTTTTGATGAAATATTTAAAATGAAATAATTTGTTATAAATTATATATATATATAAAACTTTTAATTCTATATCGTTTATTTGACTTCGGGTTATCTATGTTCTCCAGAATTAAATTGTCATTTAGTCTTTGATGAAAACGCATTGATTTTGTTGCACAGCGTCTCGTTCGATAAGAAGCAGCGGTGGACGCAGCAGCAGATCGGGAATGAGAGCTTTGGTCGACGCGTTGAGCGACACTCGACCGAAATCGCCAGCAAGCCAAGTAGATAATGATGAGCCGATAGAATTAGCGCATTATCCAGACGCTATGAAACCACCCCCGGGGGCCCAACCACCAATCGAGAGAGACGATTTCCCTGCTCCACCGTATCCTTACACTGATCCTGAAAGACGTAGACGATGGTCCGACACTTATAAGGTATTATCTTACATTTAATCTTCAAAATAATATAATGCTATTTTTTCCATTAATCCTTTACTTAATGATGCTGATCAGTGAATTAACATTCTCTTTTAATTCAGGGAGTACCTGCATCTGATGACGAGGATGACGTGGATAACAAAACGTATATCAAGGAAGCGGAGCAAAAATTGAAAAAGGAACAGGACGAATTGAGCAAGATCGACACGGGAATAGCTAAGGTATTCCTGCAAGATCGCGAAAAAGATCGGGAGAATTTGAGACATAGAGCTGCGAACGTTGATCCTAGAAACGCCTCGAGGACACCGTCTGCCGCCAGAGAGCCAACGTATCGATTGCGTTATGAAAGTCCCGTTGGTGCATGTAAGTTACAACAATTAATTTCGTATTTTTAGTATTTAGATATAAACTTCAATTATTTAGCTGTCTAATTCTAATTAATATCTTGAGAAGAGCATATATTGTTCTCAGATTTAAATTTGAAAGCCTATGAACAGTATCATTTAACATTTATGTAAAAGATAATTTGAAGAACATTTTGTGCAGCGCCTTCGCGAAATATTGATCATGCACGGCCTTGGGAGGATGACGATGGCTTCAGCTACAGATCCAGCGGGCCTAGTTACAACGGTAAGTTTTTGACGTCACGCAACACCACGTATTTGTCTCATTAACATAAGTAACGATCATCTCATACATGTCCACACGTTCGCACATGACACTAACATACCACTCTACCGTTTAAAGTAACATGGATTAGAGAACGCTGTGAGTCTCGATAGAGCGGGGTTTCCCAGGGCGGGCGGTCGTAAATGGTTTCATTTTGTCGATAAAAAAGAAACGTTTGTTTTGTGGAGTATGACCAAATCGGCCAATGCAAACCGAGGGAAGGTTTTACGCTAATTAACAAACGATGATAACAGTACGTAACACTTGAAAGCAGGGCTTTAAGTGGAGTGTGTAGCACCAAAAAACCGTACACTGGACGCCCAATTAATACAACAGGTGATGTATTCTGCCTATGCATGTTGTCGTCCCTTACCTCGATGTGCTTGCTTATAATTTTTTTTCGTCGAACTGCGAACGGCGCATCAACCAATACCTCGAAATAACGGGCAATTAAATCGCCATTGCGATCTTTAGTCCTGGAAATCGTTTCTCGAGGTAATTGATCCTGATCTATATCTTGCATGATACTTGGGACCACGAAATTCATTATACACGGACACATATTGTTCCAATGCACATCACTCTCATTTCTGCGACACAATAGTAGTTTTAGATAGAATTTAAACTGAACTTCAAATTGACTAATAAAAAGTCAATTTATTATCATTTTTCATCTCTTTTTTTGTATGCTTCAGTAAGATTTAAATCGCTTTCGTAATCATTCTATCTAAATTTAATTAAAATTGTTTTAAGATGTATATATGGTATATATATATATAGTATATATTCTTTACATTACAATAATTATATTTTATTTTTTCTAATATTTTGCGTTTTTTTTTGTTTTATTAAGACCAACAAATATAGCTCAAAAGCTAATTTCTGATTTGGTTTTGATAATTGATTATTGAATTTTATTAAAGAAAATTTTTTATATTAAAATGCTTTTTTAAGAAGAGTTAGTTTTTAGATATTTTTTGAATCTTATTTACAATATTGGAAGATAATTTGGCAACGTGAATAATAATTTTACTTCATTACGCGCATGATAATTATTTCTTTTATGCACCGCACATCTTTGCTTTCTGACAGATACAGAATTTTGCTTCGTGGTATCTTCCAATGTTGGGTCACTAGTTAATTTTAGAACGCTAATATGGAATGTTTGTCAACTAATCCAATTTTGTGCAATATTAAAAGATTGTATAATTAAGAAACAAATCGTTGAAAAGGCAGTTAAGAGAATTTTAATCAACTATTTAAATTAACTAGCTAATTGTTACAGCCTTTCATAATTACGTTAAGAAAAATTTAATAGAAGTCTTTTATATCTTTGTAAAAGTTATGAAGAAATCTGTCTTTCGCAAAATCGCTAATTTCAAGTTAGCGTTCTAGATTTAATAGGACACAGTATGTTAGTCACACGATGCTATTACCCGTCGTCTACTATCATTGTGTCTCTATTTGTGTTTTTGTGTTTGTGTTGTGTTTGCGTGGGCGGCAGTTGGGAGGTCATCGGCGCGCTCCCCGGCTCCCAGAAACTATCCACCCCTTGGTACTCAACGCGCCTTCACTCTTCCAAACGCCACTAGACACTATCATTCGGTGAGTCCGAAAACTTTCCAATTCGCCCGCCGTTGGTCCCAAGTCAAATCAAATCCATTTTTAAGTTCCATTTTTAAATTTTCCCATTCAATTTTTCTACATATTTTTAATAAAATTTCAGTGTTATAATATCACCTGATTATTTTTACGCGATTAAAAACTACAAATTGTGCACGTGTAAATTAGGCATGTAAAATGTTATTTGCTGATGAAGAAATAAGAATTTAGTCATTGCTGTCTTGATATTAAAACAACAATCACCTTAAAGTGAGATTTTCGATAATATAAGAATAGTTTATCTGCAATTTTTTTCATCTATAATTTGAGATGCATCCCATACATTGTAATATATTGAACCACATATATTTTTGTCTGCATTTTCAGTAAGAAAGGAAAGCTTTTGACTTGTCATCACGGCGGGCGCGCTTACGAGAAGAGTCTATTGTACTTACACGCAGGTGCTGGCTTTTTATGTATCTGTTTTTTTTTTAATCGCGAATTGCCTCGTACACTCTACTTAATGAGAGTGAACGCTTTGTGCACTCGAAACTATCGGATATCTTTAAGCGCCGTTTGCCGATGGGAATGCGACATATTTGAAATTATTATCATCACAGATATCCTTTGTTACACGCGATAAAGTTTAAGGTAATTAGATTCTGTAGGATAGATTTAATGACACGATTGATGCATGCCTTTTTCAGTTATTTCTCCCAGATATTTACTCCAAAGATGTATATTTTTAATTTTATTACTAATTGTATAAAAGATTATGTATATAAAATACAAGTACAGAAGAATTGAGCATTGTAATAGAATTATATCGCATGTATATCGATGGATATCTGTCTTTTTAAATCTATTCGGATCCATGAGAAACATTGTAAAAAATACGATGTACCAAGTATATCATTGTTGAGGCGCAAAGATAGGGGGAAATTCCTTAACAGTGGTTGATCTTGGGGGGACATATAAGGGAGCGACATGGCTTCGTAGAGTTAACGAGTACAAAAAATCTGGCAAGCGAACGTTGGGCATTCGTATGGGAGATTGAACGAATTGAAATCACTGCTGAAACTAATCAGTAACACCTGTCGATTGACTGATTTGCAAACCAGTTGTGAGCTCCCTTCGGCACATCCCGAAGCCGGGGTACGGTCTGGCACCGCGAAGTCACACCTTCTCCTCGACCGGCGGTTCTGTGTCTGCTCTCCCTGTAAGTCTTGCACCGCAAGTCACAGTCGGCGATGCGACGTGCACCGCGCTGATAGTGCAATAATACGTATATAGAAGAGAGTATACATAGAGTCAACTCCGCGGCGACCGAGCGGAACACACCTCTCTAAGATAACGCTTTTCTGTCGTCTAGGGCGACTATTCGTTCAGCGGGATGGGCGACAAGACGCACAGCACTGATTTCTCGTCTGGCAAGTCGGACAGTGAGTAAAACGAGGGACCGACCTACGCCGGTCCCCTGCACACACATTAGTCATCTCACCTTTTTACATCACGCTTCTCAAGCTTGACGCGCTCGCAAATTAGACAAATAGAGTTTCTGCAGTACTATCGTGAATCTATCGAGGATTTCTATCAGCTTCAAACTAAGATTACACTAACAGTATTCATCTAAAAGGTTTGGCACGTCTGGTAAAATAGAATTTTGTAGGTTCAATCTGCAGTATCTTGATAACAAAAAATTTATTTAGCGTTTATTTGCTTTTTGTATTAAATCTTTTGATCTCTAATTTGAAACTAATATTCTAGTAATGCTTGTTCAAAATTAACTGAAATTTAGTTTACAAAGAATTGTCTATAACTCAGAAATTACTGTTTTGATAATTTTTATAATGAAGCTTTTACAAACGTCTATATTATGGCAAAGATGCATGATTTCCGAGACATTTCAAGATTTTACGCGTTGTCTTGTCACGCATAATTCATGATGGAACTGCTGGCGATTTTTGCGAGCGCGTCACTGCCACATTATCATTTTCTTCATACACTACGTTTTTTGCCTTGTACTCGCATGCTTTACTAACATCTCTGCGAGCTATCGCACTGTCACTGTGAAACATTGTACATCGTACATTGGCCTGTTGTACATCGTCATATAACATTGTTTATTTAAAGAACTGTAATAATGACACTTGTTTGATTATGAATTATGAAATTAATAATCATCTACGATACATATCAATTTTCTCTCAGATCAATAACCATACATAGAGCTGAAGTAATGAAAAAGCAATAAGATAAATTATATTAAGCCAGGAAATATCAAAGAAAGTGTCAGAAATGGAGATGTCAATACTTACTATGTTTTGTGTTTGGCTAGTATTAAGAATTATAATTACAATATTATATCCTTCGACCCTTCAAATGAAAAAATATTATAATCTTTAGTTGATACGTTCTTACAGACAAGCCTTCTGTAAATCTGGAAACTTTGCAGTATTATTGAATTATAAAACAATCATGTCTCTGGCATTACTTCTATTACGTCTATTTTTAATTAAATAGTCGTGTTTGCGCTACTCTACGCATTTTTTTCACGTATAAATTATAAAATGCATAGGCAGGTAATGAAAAAAGGAAACACGATTGATGAAAAACAAATTGTAGTTAGCATAGGAAATGGTTTGTGCAACATGGTTTGATATGGTTTTCTTTCACATTTTCCCCAATTTTAGTATCAACAGGCAGCATCACGGATGTGGATCGACGGGCATTGGTATGTACCACAGCCCCATACTACTCCCGGCGAATTAGCATGGTTTGTAGCTTGTTTTTGCATCTGTATCATAATAAAACTCCATTTATCGGAATGATTTCGATAACACTGCATTTAAATACACATTCTCTTTCTATATTAAATTTAACATTATTTTAATATGGATTATAAGTTTTTTAAAAAAATTGTTAATTTTATAAGGATTGATAATTTCATAAAACATCATTAAGCAAATTTTGATTTGTTGAAAGAAGAATAATTTCTTTCTAAAATTTTAATGGCAAAAAGATTCATCGAATAACTTTTTTTAAATTATATGTATTCAATTTGATTACTCTAATAAATGGAGTTTATGCAAATGTCATTTTATTTAACGTTCTAGCACGTCTATAATTGCAGATGTGTTGCATTAAATGCACACATTCGTCTAGAGAAACAAGACAATACAGTTCGTACGTTTGAAAAATTTATGTGTAAATGCATATTATTGTTACTTATTTGTATTTATTTGTATGATTATATTTGATTTGCTACTTATCTTTACTATGATAAGATTGTATATATAATGCTGTATAATGAGTATGCATGCATGCTGTATATTTTGCTATTTTGAGTTTTGCATTTTTTTATCAACTGTATTTACTTTTAATTTGCTCTATGTTGTATATTCGGTTTATCGTAAGAGTTCTTCATCTTTTAATTAAGTTAAGTTAGTTAATTAATCGAACTACTTTTATATCCAATTTGCACTAATTAGCTTTATGAGCGAAATGTGTTATTTTATTTTTTTCTTGTTTTAATATAATGTAATTTATTTTGCAGAAAATTTTAATTTTATAAAATTGAGATAATTGAAATTTTTTCTTTGGAGCTTTGAGTAAATTATATAATAACTTTCGATCGAACATAACAGGAAATTAATACCATAATATCAGCAATTTGATATTATGGCAAAATGCATTATTATTATATTACTATGAAATTACTTTTTATGAAAACAGATTATCCAACATTAGACATATTATTAATAATAATGTTATTAATAATAATTTGTTTAAAGTACTATAAGATAGCTATTTAAATATTTCATGTATTAAAATTTGTATATATAATATTTTTAACAGAAAAACGTTTTTTTATACAAAACGATTTTTCAAGAAAATGCATGTATGGTATATACATTATTCGCACTTGAAAGACAGCTGTACAGCATTGTTTATAGAAGTAAAAAATTGTACATAGTGCGTAAATCTGGAAAAAAATTAAAGTGTTTGCACGTAGGATGCTTCAATCTATTTTGATTAAATCTATGTACTCTAAATATTAAAGGAACGAAAATTTTAAACCCCAATTAGTATACTTTTAGTAACTATTAGAAGTTGATTAATTTGATATTGAAGCAGTCTATTGAGTCATACGAATTCGTACGTGTATATAAGAAGAATTTGTTAATTATATTATTCTATTATTATGCAGCGAGAGTATAACAGTTTTGTAGTGTGTAAAAAATGTGTTTACTGTAAAAGGCGTGGACAAGAATATTTTTGGGGGATGCATGATACTGGAAATTTTTAATTGAAATGTGTTTATTTGAAAAGATCTTATTGCATTTTACGAGTTTATTATCAAACTTATATTTGATATTGAATTACTCTAAAAATATCATCTAGCGAATCTTTCTTCATTCAAATTCGTTTTGCTTTTCTAAGAATTCGAAGAATGCAAATGCAACCCCTTACATCTTTCTCGCATCGTCCATGTCATTGTCGTATTATTCACATCTATTTCTGCTAGTGTGACTCATGATTTTGTATTATTGTGGCGCAGAATGATGGTGGAATCCTTCCATCGTCCACCACGTATACAGGTGGCCTAGGTTCGGTTGTTGGGGGCCACGGGGGTCATCACGTAAGAAGATCGCTGCCGGACATGGGGGCTGCACCAACCGAACCGCCCAAACTTTATCCCTATCATTTACTTGTTATCACTAACTACAGGCTGCCAGCTGACGTGGATCGTTGCAATCTCGAGGTGAGTACTAGCTGTGAGCACCAACATTAATTGTTTACTCGTTTCATTTATAAGTTATGAAATTATACAGTACTGTCATGTAATAATTGTTTATTTTTAAAAATAACATTCTTTGTTGTCTCTCCTCATTGCGTTATTTATTGAACTTAATTGTGTGGTATTTTAATCATGATTACAATAACGTGAAAATCACCTGGACTTTTTTTCAGCGGCACCTCTCCGATGCAGAATTTGAAGCTGTTCTACAGTGCTCTCGATCGGAATTCTACAGATTGCCACAGTGGCGTCGCAATGAAATCAAAAGACGTGCCCGTCTCTTCTAATTCATGTCAAATTTTTTGCTTAACACACATCGCGTCGTGTCGCGATTGCATTACTGCGGTACGGACCGTACATTCCTACTGCGTGGGTAGATGCATCGCGGGGAAAAAAATGTGTTCGACAACCATTACGATCATTCTGCCGATTGACGTGCGCTCATCAAAATAAACGTCCTCTAGACTGGGGCGCACGCAACATACGCAGACGCATACGCACACAAACACAATGTAATGATGCGGAAGCACTGCCACTTGTCGTCAATTTTTTTCTCGCAGCAACGAATCCACAGGCAGCTTTATCTATGACCCGATTTATTTAGCGACGTAGTCGTTTTCAGGTTCCATCTCGGAGCTCTATCGCGATTTGTTTTCATACATGTTGACGAATATCCAATGAATATGATGGCTGATATTAACGTAGGGGAGAAAATAATCAAATAGAAAAAAAGTTACGATTAAAACTCTTAATACAATTTACTATTGTAAATAAGAAGTTAATCAAGAAGTCGAAAAAGCGGCGTGGAGGAGCAGCTAGGATATTTCAAAGTACATAACCGCGTATTTGCTAAATCGCATACATACATATTAATCTTTGTGGAAGATTATGACGCAAGGAAACAAACGCTACTATGTAGGATTTATCATTATTATTAGTTTTTAACTACTATTATTAATATTATTATATTTTACTATGTGCAACATGAAGAGTTAAGAGTAGGTAAGCCCAGCTTGCTGAATGGTGCGATTGCACTGGATTAATCGAATGAGTTGCGTGTGATTTGTCACTTTTTAACTTACTCTACGACAAGGATTATTTTATAAAGTAGTTTACGCGCAAATACGATGTCCTTGTGTGAGAAGATATCAAGTTGTCTTTATCTTTTAATTATCCTTGATGTATTAACTAAAGAAACGCTCTGCGGTGCGGATTGCGATAGACTTCTATAATTACTCGATCACTCTACATTAGAGTATGAATAAGAAAATCAGGACCAAATTTATAGTTGTGGTGGATTTAACAATAACAGGAAGTATATTTTAACCATATATGGATTTATTATCATATTCAATTCATAGCAATTTTCTCAATATTTTGGAAGTAGCACAAAACAAGTTTTGAAAATTTTCAAATCGTATTAATATCATCTATTTAAGTAGCGATTTTTTTAATTTTCTAAAGTAAAGAGCTTATTTATAGTATTTCCAAAAGGAAAACTTCTTAAAAAAAATTATAGAAGTAAATATTATATGTATAATATTATAAAATATATAAATATTATATGCTAATATATAAATATTGCATGCATATAATATTTATAATATTATATATTTATAAAAATTTAAATATTTATAAATATATTAAAATTTTTTTAAATATACTTATATTTATAAAACATTTTATAAATATTAGATATAAAAATTTATAATATTTCTAATTAAAAAAAGAGATGTATTTTGTGCGAAACGCATAAATCACTCTTTTTCATCGCATATCTTATTAAATCTTTCAAAAGTTATTTCATGCTATTTTCAGAATATAACGCGATAATTTCACCATTGATTAAGTAAAATACTGATCCAGTAAAACTTTTAATTTTATGGATACCGCAGTGATTGTCCTCCACCCTTAAATTAGGTCCTGCACAGAATTAAAAAAAAGTTTCGAAGTAATAGCCGAAGCAGTTAAGCTGATATCGGACGTACACGCGTCCAATGAATAGAGCCGATTTATGCAAAGCGAATAAAGTTGAATTTTCATATATAGGTGAGAAACAGGACGTATCGAAGTTTTGACTGTTACGCCATATGATTATTATATATGTAGATGAATTTACTACGTATTCGAATATGTATGCGTGCAATAAAATTGACACGCTTCATTCGAACGAAGTCACCGAACTATACTTTACTACTGACGCGGGTGCGACGTTTTATCAAATCAGCTGCGTTTTATTATTCACACATTTCGCCCCCTTATCTTAAGTCATGTGCCTAACAAATAAATGTCGTGGGACATTTCATGCGAGAAAGAGAGGAATTGTTAATCTTACAAAGCGTCCCACACGCTTCGTGTAAGACTTACAATTCCTATCAAGGCATTCTGAATTCTTTCGAAGCGACGATCTTTCAGGCGTCTTTGGATCTTTGTACTGCCTTGAGTAACAGCTTCATTATGAAGAAAATCTAACTTGCTCCATGATCGCTAACATACAACTTAAATGTCATTTGAGATCAACACGGCTGTAACTTTCTTTTTCTTTTTTTTCTTATGGAGATGTTTTACTTGTAAACATATTCGTGTAATCCCCTTTTGTTTTGTTTTTATTATAAATAAATTTCACGTTTTATTGATTTTGTATACAATCGGTACTCCTGATCATGGCGCAATGTTATTGTTCCCACTGTGCAATGCGAACCAATGTATGTTTCTGTTGTATAGAGCACATTGCTTCCGCTAGTCCCTAAAGTTAAATAAATGCAAAACATACGAACAAGCTGACGAAGTTACTATCACTATTACGTTAATTATCAAGCAGCTTATATCCCGCAATAAAGGCTATACACGCACAAGACTCATTTCCTGATCCGTTTCATGTAGATCCGCAAGCTTCATGTAGAAAAGCCTTTCAATTCCCGTTTGCTCGTTGGATATATGCCTTACTTTAACCAAAAAAACTCGTCTAAATTAAAAGGTAATTCAAAGGAACCACTACAGAACTTCAAACTTTGTTTTTCGGAGCTTTTTAACTCGCTGCAGTCTGCTGTAAAAAATTCACACGTTATATAGAAACTCCGCAGAATGTAAGACTAATACGAAATTACTTTTTCACGAAGGATTACGAAACCCTCTAGCACACTGGAAAGCGGCTCGTATTGATCCGACACTAATTCCGCCTTTTCGCCCGTGCACAGCAACACTGGTGTGGTTTGTACATGACCGCCAACAATAGATTTCGGATTACCTGCTTTCCCCACAACATCCACGTTTTGACCGATTCTTACCGATACCGGCAAATTCTGCAAAGTATTGATAATATCGTTTCTAAACCCGGAATATTTATATCCTACAATCCTTTTACATACCGTAAGATTTTCATCCACAGTGACCAGCCACCTTGGCTCTATCGCGATCGCCAAGCAGTATATTAAATAATGAGACTGAGATAATATGAGATTTCTGCAATCTAAACATGCAACGAGGACGACCATCAAACCAGCCAGGGCAGTATAGTCCAAAATTTTCGAAGAGTACCGCAAAGGCGATAAAGATAAAGTACCCTAAAAGGAAAAATATAATGTATAAGGATGCAACTTTTTTAAAGGAAAGAACGATCATTAATAAATTTTTATTTTATGTTAAAGAAAGACGAATCGATTCATCAAAAAGAAATTTGTTACTTTATTAATATCGTTATTTGCTTATTATTTAATTGTAAACGTTTTTATTGGCCCGACTTTATCAAGGCTTTTACCTTGCCCAGGTGCACCAAACCCTGAGAGATACGCACAAGGAACAGGTGAGACGGATTCTTCGCGTAATAAGCCGCCAGCTGTCTCAACATTGTCGCCAATCGCGCATTGTTGGTACCTGCGCCTACCAGACCGAGGGCGAAGATCGCATTTAGAGCGACATCGGCGTCATGGTCGTGGCTGTATTTGTTTAGCACATCCACGACAGCTGGATCAGCATTCGACAGAGAGGATAAGGCTAATGCGAGGGGCATAGCGCGTCGCGCTGGCGTTGGCCCATATCTTCCAACCTATGATTTGTTAAGCAATCGTAATCATAGCGAGGACTTAGGGGATCGTCATTCACAAGAGTCACAAGAGTCGTTCCCATGATAAATATTAATTAAAGTCGATTACACTTCTAACTTCCGCTTCTAGTTCTACGCCACGAAAAGAAAGAGAGTGTTAAATCGCTGCAAATGAATTATAGGAACCCATAAACGTTAATTAAGGTGAATTGAAATTTAAATGTTTCTTTGTCTCTTTCCGCTTTAGGTAACTATAGGCGCGTCGTCATAAATATTCGTTATAGTTTATTAAGGTCTTATACGAATTTAATCTTCTTACCTGACCAAAGATTCTCGAATTTTCTTTTCCTTCTCCAAGCCCAACTACACCTACCCCAAGGGATGCTATAGCCTGTGGAGCTCCAATATCTCTGAATTTAATACAATACATTGATTATTTCTTTAACTATAATTATTTAGCACTAAATATGCAAAAGCAACAAAATTTTTTTTCTCAAATTATTGTATATCTATGAAAAAGTTACTTATTTATATTACTATTCTAAATTGTTATTTATTAATGTCTTATTTAACATTTTATATTTTTATTTTTAGTGATATGCTTACTTAGCAAGTTCTTCGATTTGATTGTCGTCCTTTTTATTCTTTTCTAATTTGGCAGAGCTTTGTGATCTTTGATCGCAACAACTTGGTATCGGAGTATTCTCAGGTGTTGTTTTTGTGCTCATTACTTCCTCGATTGTTTCCGAACAGGTCCTTAATAATTCTTGCACTATCAATACATCGCCAGTGCCCGCGTATGCGCAAATCTAACAATTATTTTTATCAGATTTGAATTGTATACGATACTTTTCGAAAGAAATTACACAATTCTAACAATCTTTTGCTATTTGGATTATGAAAAACTTTCTGATGAAATAATTTTTGAGAAAATCATAACAGTTTAATTTTACTTGTAGCATAGTTTGCGAAGCATAGTTATATGGTTCCGGCAAAGCCTCCAGAGCTGCAGATGGTGTTTCTATAGCGTCTCGGGTTCCCATATAAATCATTCCTAGGGCTAACGCCAAAAATCTGCGTGATAAAAATGATTTCTATATTATATACATTTACGTATAATATTTATAATATTATCTATGTATGACTTTCTTACATTATCTATAAATATAATAATCATAATTATACCTGGAATGCGTAATAACAAGCTCCTTCATAGATAGTCCCAATAATTTCAACAGGATTGCCGAAGATACATCAGAATCTCCCGAGCCTACATTCACAAGACCCAAAGAAATGGCAATCAGCGATAATACTTGTATATCATCTGAAAAAAGTTATAGTTATGTGACGATTAATTATTTTTATCCCTTTGTGAGTAAAAAATTTTAATTCAAGTCGCATAAATATAAAATGTAATATAAGAGAGAAAGAAATTTCGTACAATTTAAAAAATATCAGATTAACTTTAATTTTTTTCATCATTAAAGAGTTCATTTTTTTTATTTTTGAAACTGGAATGAAAAAATGAAGATTATATGCATAAAATTACATTACTTTGCTCATCGGCTAAAGCTCCAGAAAGAAGTTCGGTGACATCTTTTCTTCTGGACCCAGCATAAGCCAGACCTAATCCCAGGATGGCTCCTATGCGAAGAATTTGGCTGTTTGATTTTACGTACTCGCTGAGAAGTGCCAAAGCCGGATCGCATTCATTACGAATTCCGCAATTCACCAGTCCGATTGCTAGCAAGGCACCAGATTTCACGTAGTCTTCGTTCGTGTAAAGATACCTAAGCGGATAACAGGACTATCAATAAGTAAGCTCAAAAAAATAAATAACAGTTCTTTTTTAATTCTATTAACTTATCATATAATCTTATTATATCTTTTTCCAAAAAAATAATTAAAAAAATTAGAATAATTAATTCGCGACATTAAAGATTAATATATTTTTGCTTGAAATTTATACTAACTTGTCGATGGGAATTAATCCGCCGTCGACATCCCACATATGTATTAGACCCAAAGAAGCAGTAGCTGATAACATTCCATGTTCCTGAAAAAAAGCACATGTTTTTATTTGCGTTGCAATATTTTTATATTATATAACTTTTTAATCGAAAGATATATATTAATATAATCTCTCAATCCTTCTTTCTATAAAGTGATAAATAATTATTTATATTTTCCATTATACAAGAGATAGGTCAGTATTCATATTTAAGATTCTCTTAAGTACAATCTTAAAATGTCATAAATCCATCACAAAGCTGTGTGTGTATTAGCATCATTACTTAAGACGGTCTCAAAATAAGAACCGATAAGTACTGATCGAAGTTAACTATAT